AATGTGTTCATAAGTGAAATTGAGTAATTTTATTTTTTCAGCTGGTTGTTATCAAAGGTGTATTAAGTTCTTAAAATGAGTCTAGGAGTATTGTTGTTGCTGTTATTTTTTATCTTCACCCAAGGACATACTTAGAGGAAGAGAGAGAAACATCGATATGAGAGAAACACATCGATTAGTTGCCTCTCCCACAAGTCCAGACCGAGGCTGGGGATTGAACCTGCAATCCAGGTATGTGCCCTTACCTGGGAATCGAACCCATGACCCTTTGGTGCTGGGACCAATGCTCTAACTACTGAGCAACACCGGCCAGGGGTCAATTCCTCCCTTTTGAGCAGCGAGGTCCATACCACAATCACTTCCCTTGATAGCTTCTCATGATATGGGGCCACTATCCACACAAAATTATTCAAATTAGCCAATCATCAGAGAACCCAGGAAAACTAACTAACCCCATCCTGCTTGCCATACATAAGCTGACTCCTAGAGTGTGCCAGCTTGCTGTAACCCAGTGCTACCCTGTCCCTGGATACAACCCCGAGTGTGACCCTGCCTAGCAGCCTTCTCATTTTAATCTGTGACAGGTCTAACAACCCGTCTTTGATGCTTTTCCACCACCGCTCTAGAGCTGAGTCCCTGAGCTCCTCCTGCAGGCCTTGGCAGTTATGGCTTCCAATGTCAGGTATGCTGGTCCCTGTGGATTTGATTGGTAGTGTGGCCCCGGGAAATGAATGTGTTTTGATGTCGAAAATAAGGCTTGGTAACACCAGGGGGCGCTGTCGTCTCATGTTACTGCTTTCCTCCTGGATGCTGGTGCTGGGCTGTGTACCGCCTTGGTTTGGGGGAGGGTTGCCCTGGAGTATTTTGTTGGCCTGCTCCTGTCTAAGTCAGCTTTTGGAAACTCAGGCCAGTGGAAGCTGTTGTCCGTGAAAATGTCAGGAGTGCAGGTGTTAGTCCTGACTGTGTCTGACTGTTTGCCTTGAGCACACCAGCTCCCCTCTTATTTCCCCATCTACGAAGTAGGCACTACTAAAAAATGTGATCCTTTGGGGTGCGTGTATGTGTGTTATTATTTAGGTTTGAAATCCTTAAGGGAAGGAAAACCTATTTAGTGTTTCTCCAGGACAGTAACGTTATTACTTTGCAAACCTGAACACTGACCTCCGCAAACTTGAAAACTTGAAACCTGCTTTTAAGCTGAATCTTGACTCTGAACTCGAAGGTGGCCCACTGAGTCCAAGTCCAGATATCTCCTGGATTCCTAGTTCTGGCTAAGGGAGATGTGATGGGGAAATAACGACCTGCCCCTGATCCAGAGTATAAAGATCCTTTCTCCTGCGGACAGCCAGCTAAAAGGAACGTTAGGAATGTAGCAAAAATATTTTTTTATGATGTGTGTCTTTCTAAAAAGTTACTTCATTTTTCTCCATAATCTACCAGAGAATAAACCTTTCTCAGCTTTCGGTTTGGGGAAATGACTAAGAGTCATTTTCTGATTCTTCTGTTAAAAAAAAAGGGGGGGGTGCCACTTGAAGTCAGCACAGAGTGAGAGAGAGCACTCACAGGAAGACACGTGCCCTTCAAAGGCGACTGTCCCAGCGCTGCTTCTGGAGCGAGTCTGGCAGAGCCTCGCAGACCTTCCCCAGAGCCACGTGCAGAAGAGCAAGGTAAGTGGGGTGGACGGGGCCATGCTTGGGGCTCCAGGCCGGGTGCTGGTTTCTAACAGGTGCGAGGACTTTGGAGGCGCTGGGAGCTGCCAGCCGCTCACCCAGGCCCATCACTCGGGCATCTTGGTCAGTCTCCTGCTCACATGTGGCTCCTGTCTTGGAGGTCACACGCGATCTACCTGGACCCACACCCTCCGAGCCCTCATCTGATGCGTACTCATTTTTGCTCACATCTGGCCTAGGTCCAGATGCTTAGGCTACACAGACAATGTTCATTGGACATATAAACTGCTTCTTGCCTTTTTGAAGACTCCCAGGCCAAGAAAGACCACACAAATCGGGGCAACAGAAGAATTTCAAACATTTACCAATGGTGTTTGCTCTTGTGTGTTCTGATGATAATTTCCTAATTTCTCGGCCTCTTTTACTGTATCTCTTTAATTTTCACTGGTAAAATGGTGCAGAAAGACTAGAATTGTTTAAATGGAGTTGCTATTCATTTAATACATTTTTTTTCTGGAGACCCTGAGTGCACCAGGTCTTCAGCCTTTGCTTGCTGGAGTAAATCAAAGTCTCTCTCTGGAGAAACACAGAGTTTAGGTGGGTGTGTGGTGGTGAGGGTGGGAGGCAGGGCGTAGCTCTGGATTACTGAACAATGGGAAAAGGATTTTAATAAGAGACATCAGGGTGCCAATAAGAAGGAAGTGAGAGGCGCTGGCCAAGTGGCTCCGTTGGTTGGAGAGTGGTACACCAAAAGATTGCGGATTTGATTCCCGGTCAGGGCACGTGCCTAGGTTATCTGTTTGATTCCCCATTTAGGGTGCATATGGGAGGCAACCAATCAATGTTTCCCTCACCTTGATGTCTCTCTCTCAAATGAATAGAAACATATCCTCAGGTGATTTTTTAAAAAGAAAGAAAGAGCCCTAACCGGTTTGGTTCAGTGGATAGAGCGACGGCCTGTGGACTAAAGGGTCCCAGGTTCGATTCTGGTCAAGGGCATGTGCCTTGGTTGCGGGCATATCCCAGGTGGGAGATGTGCAGGAGGCAGCTGATCAATGTTTCTCTCTCATTGATGTTTCTAACTCTCTGTCCCTCTCCCTTCCTCTCTGATTCCAGTCAAGGGCATGTACCTTGCTTGCAGGCCCATCCCCAATAGGGGTGTGCAGGAGGCAGCTGATCGATGTTTCTCTCTCATTGATGTTTCTAACTCTTTTTCCCTCTCCCTTCCTCTCTGTAAAAAATCAATAAAATATATTTTAAAAAAATAAAAAAGAAAGAAAGAAGAATATAGCCAATAATATTGTAATAACTATGCATGGGGCCAGGCGGGTACTTGAAATATTGGGAACCACTCTGTAATGTATATGGTCGTCTAATCACTATGCTGTACATCTGACACTAATACATAATAATACTGAATGTAAACTGTAATTGAAAAAAAAAGAAGGAAGCCAGGGGAATAGGCCTTGAGTCAGAAAGCCCTTATCCCTGAATTGCTCTCATTTACACATGAACATGTGTGTAACTTTAAGAAGGTTTTAACCTCTTCGTCTCCCAATTTAGAGAGGAAACACAGTAGTTGGGGAGATAGAGATTTTATTTCTGACTTTGATGTGCCTTTTCTAGATCTGTCATACCAATTCCCATTCTGATAGGATTGATTTTCATATATGGCTTTCATGAAAAGACCAAAAATTTCCCCCCGTTTCCACAGCTAAGTACTGTAACCTTCCGAGGGACCTTGAGAACAGATGTGGTGTGTTAGTGTCAAACTGGCTGGGGGAGGCCAGCCACCCAGGCCGGGGAGGCCAGGCATGTTCCCACCTGGGATGATGCTTTAGAGCAGCGGTTCTCAACCTGTGGGTCGCAACCCCTTTGGGAGTCGAACGACCCTTTCACGGGGGTCGCCTAAGACCATCGGAAAACACATATATAATTACATATTGTCTTTGTGATAAATCACTATGCTTTAATTATGTTCAATTTGTAACAATGAAAACACATCCTGCATATCAGATATTTACATGACGATTCATAACAGTAGCAAAATTACAGTTATGAAGTAGCAACGAAAATAATTTTATGGTTGGGGGTCACCACAACATGAGGAACTGTATTAAAGGGCCGCGGCATTAGGAAGGTTGAGAACCACTGCTCTAGAGCGACCATGAAACTTGGCAGTGGTGCACTGGAGCCCACTTGCCCCAACTCTCACGAGCTGATTGTTAAACAGGGATTTTGTGAGGCAGGCGGTAGCTTGACCTTGGCCATGGTGGGAGTATTTGCATCATGCATGGAAACCAGCAAAAACCATAGATCAGAGCCCTCCCATCTCCCAAACCCCCAGACTCCCTTTACCAGCATATCACTGGGACTTGGAGCCTGAAGAGTAAGTTCTGTTCAAAGCTGTGTGGCCTTCAGAAGTCACTTAACCTCTCTGAATCTATCATGAGTTATCTACGCCATGGCTCAGTATGCTTGATTGGCTTAGAGTGCCAGATTTGTGTTGGGATGGTGGGGTGCTGGGGACAGGAGCATTGGAGTGGGATTAAGTGGTCAATACCAATGAACATGGTTTGAAATCTATAAAGTGCAAAGTATACAGGAGGAATTAGAATTTTTATACAGCCCTGGCTAGTGTGGCTGAGTTGGTTGGAGCATCATTCTGTCCACCAAAGGGTTGAGGGTTCGATTCCAGGTTGGGGCACATACCTAGGTTGTGGGTTTGATCCCTGGTCAAGGCTTCTATGGGAGGCAAGTCATTGACGCCTCTCTCTCTCTCTCTCTCTCTCTCTCTCTCTCTCTCTCTCTCTCCCTTCCTTCCCCTCTCTGCAGATCAATGAATATGTCCTTGGGTGAGGATTTAAAAAATTTATTTTATATGTAAAGGCAAGTGACCAACCTGCCTTCCTTTTAGCTTAACGACTACCTGAGCAATTACTGAATTTTTGGAGTTACAATCTAAAGGGGCAACGTGGGTAGATTTTTAAGTTTCTTTTTTTCTTCCCTTTTTTATGTGGGAAAGGCCCTCAGTACAGTGCTGTTGGGGATAGCTGCTGGTCTTTTCCTTCCTGCACGTGATTTCAGTAACCCAGACTATCTTTCAGCAACGTGTCCTCAGCAGAGGGGTAAGAACAGGGGCGGGGCTGGAATCTGGAATTTGCCTGACTCCGAAGGGCAGGATTATTTCATTTGGCTACGCTGCCCTCCAAGGAACTGAGCCCTTCGACTTGGGAAGGTTGGAAAGGATGTAGAACGATTGGAGCAAAATACTAAGCCCGTGTTCTCTGCATTCAGCCATGTTTTGATTTGCTTTTGTTCTTACCAAGCTCTTGTTTGCCCTTCTCCTCATTAGCTTCCTCTGGTTGGCCTCAGGTCTGCCTTGAGGAGCCCGTCGATTTGAAAATGAACGTCACAGGTACAACAGACCCCACCCTCACGGATGAAAGCATCTACAGCATTTACTATCATGATGACAATTTCCCCGAGCCTTGCACCAAAGAAGGCGTCAAGAAATTTGGGGGTCTCTTCCTGCCTCCTCTCTACACCTTGGTCTTTCTGTTTGGGCTGCTGGGAAACTCCATGGTGGTTCTGGTCCTGTTCAAGTACAAGCGGCTCAGGTCCATGACGGATGTGTACCTGCTCAACCTTGCCATCTCGGACCTGCTCTTCGTGCTCTCCCTTCCTTTCTGGGCCTACTACGCGGCAGACCAGTGGGTTTTCGGACTAGGTCTCTGCAAGATTATTTCCTGGATCTACCTGGTAGGCTTCTACAGTGGCATCTTCTTCATCATGCTCATGAGCATCGATAGATACCTGGCGATCGTGCATGTGGTGTTTTCCCTGAGAGCCAGGACCGTGACTTACGGGGTCATCATCAGCTTGGCCACGTGGTCAGTGGCTGTCTTCGTCTCCCTGCCAGGCCTTCTGTTCAGCACTTGCTACACAGAGCGCAACCATACCTACTGCAAAACCAAGTACTCGTTCAACTCCACGCAGTGGAAGGTCCTCAGCTCCCTGGAGATCAACGTTCTAGGCCTGGTGATCCCCTTGGGGATCATGCTGTTTTGCTACTCCAGGATCATCAGGACCCTGCAGCACTGCAAAAACGAGAAGAAGAACAAGGCGGTGAAGATGATCTTTGCCGTGGTGGTCCTCTTCCTGGGGTTCTGGACGCCGTACAACGTGGTGCTCTTCCTGGAGACGCTGGTGGAGCTGGAGGTACTCCAAGACTGCACCTTTGAGAGGCACCTGGACTACGCCATGCAGGCCACAGAGACGCTGGCTTTCGTCCACTGCTGCCTGAACCCCGTCATCTATTTCTTCCTGGGGGAGAAATTCCGCAAGTACATCATCCAGCTTCTCAAAACCTGCAGGGGCTCTTTCGTGCTCTGCAAGCACTGCGGGCTCCTCCAGAATTACTCCCCCGACGCCCCCAGCTCATCTTACACGCAGTCCACCATGGATCACGAGCTGCACGACGCGCTGTAAACCATGGAAATGCACCACCACCACCAAAATAACAGAGTTAATATCCTTACCAAGTTAAAAGTTTACCTACAATTGTATCCTAGGAAGAGTTCCCCGAGCGGGGGTGAGGGAGAAGATGTACATCCACTGCAGAAAGTGGGGCTTCTCGCCCTGCGGTCAGCTGTCCTCTTGCCACGTACAAGTTCAATGCGGCAAGAGTTCACGCGGCCCGCACCAGGCTGGCCTGCGCGACCGGTTAACCTGAGGAGATTTCTGAGCAGTGTTTCAAAGAGAAACAATATTGGAAGACATTCATTCCCTTCTGACCTGGACAGATGGGGTTCTCCTGAGGGAAGAGAAGAGAATTGACTGGTGGCGTAAATCGCTACTTTCTGCTGAGGGAAATGGGCTCTTCCATGAATTTCTAGCTTTTGCAGAAAAATATAGAAAACTTTGACAGGCTGTGCCAGTGTTTTTTTCTGATAGCATATCTGAAGCCAGGTATATGTGGAAATGAATAGCGAAGTCATGAACGGAGATCTTGATTCTTTGAATGTAAAGGATTGTTTGTTAGTGGAAGCCGAACTTTTTACGCTGATTCCAAGTAGAAAGAGATGAAGGCATTAGCATGAAATTCAAGGCAATTCCAATGTTTTGGTTTAATTGTAACAGATGAACATCCAAATTTTAAAAATAATACACAGTCCCCGATACTTTTATTTGCGGTCATGTACTTGTTTACAAACAGTGCCTTCAAAACTAAAAACAACAAGGACCACTGAGGTATGACGGTGCTTCCTTTGTTCTTTTGAGGTGCCTGCCATCGAGGGAGGCAAGAATAATCAACTAAAAGTTATTGTTGATGTGACACAAAAAATGACCGCCAAAAAACGGTGAAATTTTGCAAAGTGTCATCCTCTCTTTTAAAATATTAGCCCTGGTTCTTACATTTTGCATGACTCAAAAGTTAAGTCATGTCTTAGGTAACTTTAAGCATGTAATTAGTCATTTTGCACCATGAAGAGAAATCTCTGTTCTTACCCACAGCCTTAATTAACCACAGTTATGGAAAGACTTTAACGAAGTCTGGGCATAATTGTAATATAGGGATACTTAAAACCCTTCCAGAAACAAAGGCCTATCTTGCAGACCATTCACTGAATTACGCAGTTCAAACCGCTTCTGTAAGCTGACACATTATCGCATGCTCTGCATTTAGAAAGAATGCATTTCCAGAAGATTTATTTTCAGGAAAGTGGTTTGAAAAGGGTACATCGATGTTGCCTTCATAGAAGAAAATAAAATAAAGTAAATGTGTGCACAGTCCCCCAGAGCCTCTTTTCCTGGTCATGTTCGGGTTTGGACTGATGTGGGTGAGGATCCAAGCTGGTGAGGTCCCGTTGCCTCATCCTCCCCTCATCAGCCACATGCGTAAGATGATATGGATGTGTCCCGGGGGAGGAATCAGAGGGTTTGCTGTTCAGATCGCCCCTTGGGGTGGGGAGTGGAGTTGCTTTCTTCTTCCAGTGCCCTTGGAAATCAGTGTGGGTAAGAAGGGAGGGCGGGCCAGGTTCCTCGGTAAAGCTTCCTTACAAAACCTCCACACGGTATGCGAGGACCTACCAAATCCCAGCTTTGCATTCACTTAATCTCAGTGACAGAAATTTCGGGACACCGAAAGACAAAGACTGGCCATCGTGGTTTTACTGTCCCTTCATCCTCCATCACATGCAGTGCTAAGCAAGGGTGAGAGGCAGACCGCACAGCTTCCAACCCCCCACCTGGGGTGGGGTCATCCATCACCTCAGGTCACTCAGGGCTTCCCCTGTTCCAAAGCTGGGGGATATTTCCTCAGGATGGGACTGTAGAACCTCTAGTGCCACCCAAACATGACCCTCTCAGAACACGGGAAAGAAAGTTCCTTCCCATTCAGTAATAGAAACCTGGAAAAGCAAGCCGGCATGATTTCTATACAAAGGTGGGTTACACCAGTCAGTTTGATTAGATCCATTCCTTTCTTGTTGCAACAGGCCTCGCTTCTGGAAGACTAGGTATAATTTGTTGAAGAACAGTAAGAGCAGGTTTGCTTTGGAGGTGATGTAAAGGTTTTGGAACTAGATAGAGATGATGGCTGCACAACGTTGAGGTGAATGTGCTAAATGCCATGTAATTGTACCTATTTATTGATTTTTAAATATGTTTTTATTGGTTTGAGAGAGAGAAAGAGAGAGAGAAACATTGGGGATCAAGCCTGCAACCCAGGCATGTGCGCTGACTGGGAATCGAACCAGCAACTTTTTGGTGCATGGGATGACACTCTAAACAACCAAGCCACACCAGCCAGGGCTTGTACATTTTTAAATGGTTATTTTTATACTATGTGAATTTTACCTTAATACCACCACCACTAACAACAATAAGAATAATAGGAAATTGCCCTAGCAGTATTTGTCTCAGAGTAAGCACTCAAATGATTTTGAATAAATAAATAACATCTCCTAACCGTCTCAGTGGATAGAGCGTAGGCCTGCGGACTGAAGGGTCCCAGGTTCGATTCCGGTCAAGGGCATGTACCTTAGTTGTGGGCACATCCCCAGTAGGAGGTGTGCAGGAGGCAGCTGATCGATGTTTCTCTCTCATCGGTGTTTCTAACTATCCCTCTCCCTTCCTCTCTGTAAAAAATCAATAAAA